AAATACTTTTCAATTAAGATACCTGCCGGACTTGCGTATATGACATTCGTTTGTCTTGATTTCAATGTAATAATAAATATTTACAAAAATGTATACACTATAATTATGTATGTGATTGAATACGCACAAAAATCATATAAGCATTTAACTTTTTTGCGAAGAAAACTACAAATTTTCGCTTTGAAAATCATCAGACCTATAAGCCCAATGCGAAAAGCATTAGATCCCCGGGTAGAGGGCGGTTATATACTGAAAATCATGCACATAATACACATTCACATACATATACACACACGTTCAAATGTATATTTGTATGTCTATTTTGAAACGACGGAGTAATGGTGGTGACCAACGTCCTGCCTGTGCCTTCATCTTTCAATTCACGCGAAAATTTCCTTCGCCGATATAGCGTCCTTGGGTGTGAGTGGGGGTGGTTGCTGGTGACAGCGGGCAAGCGACAAGTATGGGAGAAAGCGAATCGAGTTTAGCTGAGGACAACGACGAATTCGTAATTGTGCGCACACACGCACCAACACCAAACCATTTTAGACAAGGCGTTGGCGGATAGGGGAGGAAAGGGCGTTTTGTTAGCTGGCCAGGCTGGGCTGGCGACAAATCAGCCGCTGTATGGATCATGGACGAAGAACGTTTACTACAGCAGCTGGCAAGGAGCTGGAGTTATAAGAGAAAGTACGACACCGAGCGGACGAGTGAAACTAGAAAATTTCGACTTAGTGGACAATGGGCAGTCGGTTTAGTCTGTTCGTTGGCATTGTTGCTTGGTCGGCTGGTCGGCTGGTCGCCAGGTCGGTTGGTTGATAGCTCGGTATCCAGGATGCATTCCATGCGATGAGAAGCAGTATCGACGATGGAAATCTGGTTTGTACACACATGTGTATGAGTGTAAGAGAATACAGAGTATATGTATATACATATATATATATATATATATATATATATATATACTATATGACTTGCGTAAAATTAACTTTAAATTCTTGCTGCAACGAAATTTGCGTTAAGGATATTCAAATGCGTATGTGTGCATGTACGTATGCTGCCAGCAGATGACCAGAGCCGACACTGTCACATGCCAGCAGGCTGACTTTTTTATTACACGAACTCTTTGAAAATGAAAAGAGTATAATTGTTTTTTGCAAATGTATGTAACAAGCATAAGGAGGCTGCTTAGGCCGAATTAATTATATATATTGTTCCTCAACATCAACAGTCGGGACGATCTAGCTATGTCCCTCGGTCGATAGGCTTTATGAACTTGTGTTCCTTTTATGTTCCGTGCAGACCACGTTTCTTTCGAATAATCGAATATAATACTATATTAATAGTACACACAGATATAGAGTATTCCAATATTTGGATATATTCTCGCGCTCGCCACAAAATAGTAAAAAAAACTCATTTAGTAATAAAAACTCCCTATGTCATATGTTACGAAAATATAAAAATTTGATAATAAACATTAAAATAAATAACAGGGTTGGGTTACAAGGTGGGGGATAAGGCTGCGTATGCTGCTTGGGTATATAAAAGGGAGCCGGAATATTTGTAACGGCAGCTTCGTACTGTGTTCAGGGTATCTCCTAGTCGTTCACTCCCGAAAAGACCACTCTAACTTCAGAGCAACGGGAATGTACCGATGAAACTTTGCCTTAGACTAAGTATTGTGTTATTATTTCTTTTGGTTTTTTAGATGCTTCTTCTCCTAAGCCTTTTCTCTTCATTTTTGAAAGGCAGTCCGGCAGACCTTATAGGTCTTCCCTTATCTTATAAATTTTTATCAATCGTAATAGTCACTGACAGTCGAAGCAATCGAATTTTATACCGATTTTTTTCTGATCATAGACACCCTTAAAGAGGGTATTTTAATGTATGCTTAGAGGTGGCTAGGTCACCTTTGGTTTTTGATAATCTTTCATCCATCTATATTTGAAAACTGGTTGTCTGAGCTAAATGAATTGGTGATCACACACAGCAAGCCCTTAAGCCCAATTTTTATTGTAGTAGTTATATATAATATATATGTATATATAAACGTGTTTAATAATTTTATAAGGCTTTAAGGACAAAGTTTAACGTTTCGTCCCAGCGGCCTCAAAATCGTTCTCATGCAAAGTAAAACTGAAACAAGTAAGAGGTTCTAGTCAGGAGCTCCCGACTAGGGGATACCCTGAACCAAAGACAATATAATCATTTATATTGTCTTTGCCTGAACTCTCTTCTTCCAACATCAAATGCATATATATATTCTATTTTAGAAGCTATATGTCAAGTTTGGTGACGCTAGCTCTTATTATTTACCAAAATTGCCCGAAAAACAGAATATCGATATCAATTTTTATCGATTGCTTGGAAACGAAGTTATCGGTTATCGGAAACAAACTCGATCTGCGCAGGCACTTGAAGCACCTACATCTAAAATTTCAGTCTCTAGCTCTTATAGGTTCTGATATCGTTGCGTTCATACATACAGAAAGACGGACATGGCTAGATCGACTCGGCTATTGATGCTGATCAAGAATATATACTTTATGGTCGGAGATGCTTCCTTCTGCCTGTTACATACATTTGGATTTTGCACAAATACAATGTACCCTTATACCCAATTTTAATGGGTTCAGGGTATAAAAATATGTATATTAGGGATTTTGTCAGAAAATGCAAGATAACTATTATCAAATTATTTAGATACAAATTGTATTTAAACTTATTTTCGAGGTAGGCGAAGTCAAAATTTTCCATTCGAGCGACTTTAAATATATTTTCAATAATGTACATTATTTATTCCATAAGCGAAAAATGGGCAAAACTTCAAATTCAATAAAGATTGGAGAAAATATTCCGATTAGAATAACACCATATTGTTGCGACCCTCTTTATAATTTAAAAAAAAAATATTTCCATTTACACTCGGCATTTGAAATTATATTTTTAACAGACCCTAGTTATGTGATATAAGGCAGTGCTTTACAGAAATGATAAAAAAATCGACAATAACGTAATTTAATTTAATCGAATTCAAAAGTGTCAAATCATTAAGGCACTAATATTATGTTTTATACATGTGATAAGCAGAAGCACAATAACGATTTAAAGTTTAATTAAACTCTCTTTACACCTTTATCTTACTGACAATGGGTAGCCGACTATATAAAGTAGATATATTCATGATCAGCATCAACAGCCGAGTCGATTTATAGATATAGAAAATGCATCTAATTCAATATTAGTTAGTTATTATTACTCAAGTAATATTAACGCCCAAAGACGGAAGCTAAACTGAAATTCGCAAACCCACGAGCTACCCTTACATTTTGGAAATATGTTGTTGAATAGTCTGTTCGGTGCTTTTAGTGTGGTCTTTATACAATTTTTAGAAGATAAAAGATTGGAAGAAAGTAATAAATTTGCTGCAGTGCAGGATGAAACCCGCTAATTACTTAAACCCAAAATTAACTATAAACGAAATCGTGCTTAAAAATGGAAAATGCAATACAAACAAAATTAAAAAACTAAGTTGAGTACTATTTGAGTCTGAGAAAAGAATTTTAGTAAGGATTTGATCTGGTATTTCACTCTTCATACGCCACGCCAGCAAAGTGGCTTTTCGCTCTCGCAAATCCACACGAATGCTGATACGAGCAACGCCAGCCTATTTTCAGCAAAGCTGGTTGATGCTGATCTGCTTTGCTTCCATTCAATGTTAGAATATGCTTAACCCATGATACCATGTGCATTATTAATATTGAATTTCTAGCGGTTTCGCTATTCTCAGTTTTTGTCAAGCAAGCAAGTAGCATTTTATTGTGTGGCGTTACTCATCTTAGTATTTATAATGTCTTTGGTACGCGTCCAAATGAGAACAGCTGTTGACTCCCTTTAGTTGTCTAACGAACTCAGTGCTCTCGCAAAAGAGTGAAACAGTGAGAGACAGCGTACGCACAATCTCACAACCAGTGACGAGTAACCGTAAATCCTGATGAAACCAAATATCAAAACAAAACGATGAAAACAACAGAGTACAGCAGCACGTTAGGGGATTAAGGAATAGAACCAGAAGTAACAGCACCAAGAACCATGCAATCCCATTCCAGGCCTATTAATTACTGATTTTTTCGACTGCAGCCCCGACGGGCCCCCGATCCCATGTTTTTGTCAACTGGTATTTGAGATTAAAAAAACATACCGCACATGTCCGTGCTAAAAAATAAAATTCAACCACTGTCCAGTTCGAATTATTATTCGAAATATGTGGTGGTCGCCTTGCAATATTTTTCTTATACTTTACCGCCTAAAAATATTTGCGCATAGTAAAAAAGGACCAAGACATTGTATGGGAACTGCTCACCAACCTTGCATCCCGCCAACAACCTAGGACATATACACACAATCTTGAACTTTGCCGACGAGGCACGCAGCAGTCGACTGCGTCGCTCGTCTTTGCGGTGGTTTGGTTTGGTTTTGCTTTACTCATCGCATCTACATGTCTATCCATCCATTCGACCAAAAAAAGAAACTTAAAATACACACAACTAACTGCATGCATGTACACATCTACTTTTATATACAAAGGTATTTGCATGTGTGTACATACATATACATACATATCCTCATAGAGCAAGATTTGAATATATGACCAAAAGAAAGTAGGCCTGCTGCTGCGGCCTAGAAGGATATGCTCCCCGCAAAGCCGACCGTCCGGCCAGCCTACCGCACGAACGTTGCGTCGTCGTCGATGCCTATGTGTCTGAATTGCGTGCGAAAGAAAATATGTTTGTGTATGCATGTATGTGTCCGTGTGTATCGTTATTGTCCAGCTTGTCCCTGAGCACGGCCAGTGCCTGTGGTGCGGCTGGACGATGCTAGCTTAAGCGGCAGCGAGAGCACGCTACGTCTTCGCTGCCGTCTTGGCCGTTATTAATCATTGTACATTGGGCTGTCACAGAAAACGGCCGCGAGTACGCCAACAGCAACAACGGGTAGAGAGCGAGAGCGCTCTCAGCGGCAACGTCGCAAACAGACACACGCACACACACACACACACACGCACACACAAACACAAAGAAACAGAATAACGACAACAAAACTGACCATACGAGTGTAAACAAACGCGCACGTGTACTCATTCGCTCACTCACTCACACAGCCGTACGAACACACACATGCATACGCACGGAGCCGCCGCGCTCAGGAGAAAATACTCGTGCCACGGAAATTCGCCGCGCTAAAATCAAAATTCGCTCACGATTTCTGCGCTCGCTGAGTCGCGGTAGTTTGTCGCCAGACGCTTGCTGTTTAGGTTCGCAGGACACTGGTGGACGGCATAGCGGTCATATCCTTTCGACAGCCGGTCACTCAACACGGTGTGCGTTGTCGCGGCTAATTTTCGCGATTTCGTTTGACATTCTCAGCTATCTACATAATATCGAAATATTTGCCAGTGTGGAAAATAATTAAGCTGGTAAACAGTGTTGTGCTTCCATTTTTTGAAAATATAAATACAATATTATATAAATTTAAAATAAAAACAAAAGGGATTCTTAGTAATAATATAAACCAAATCACACTTCCTAACGAATTAATTAATAATACATAATAGACAAGGCAAAACTTTAGTAAGATTCGCGCAGTGTGTTTACGCGAAAAATAATATTCATTTTATAAATCGCCGAGTGCAGTCGGTCGATTTCATAAACATTTTTTCGCTAAGGTGCTCAAAAAAGGTTTGTATAAATTATAAATTTAGTGTAATGGCAATATTCGATACAATTCAAACTATAAATATAACCTTATATTAGATAATTGACTTGCATATTAGTACAAGTATAGGCAGAAGTGACAAGTTGTGGTAAAGTTATATCACGAGTCTTATACATGAGCTCCTTAGGTAAATTATATTCGGACTAAGCATATACAAATCTTTATTTCAACATTTAGTTAACTCTTTATTTTATGAATAAACTAACTTTGTTAAGCTTACTAAGTTTTAGCCAGTGCTTATATATTTAAACGAAAATCATCAAGTTTCTTTGTAAAAAAAATAGTTCCTTTGGATTTGTTAAAACCCTTCCGTTGTTGGCGTAATAAATCGAAAATTCAAATTTAATATTTATGTGCCTTGATTCAGATTGATTGTATAAATTAATATTTGTTTACAGTCAACCGTTTAGAGAGAGGCTATATTATACTATCGAACTTTAATTTCGAACGGAGCGTGATAACAAATCCAAAAATCATATTTATTCCTTACTCGCATACACGTTTAAATAATTATTCCAAATCGAAGCTGTAAAGAAAGAAAAAACATGCTCTTATAGTTCAGTACATATAGACAGACAGACAGACAGGTGGACGTACATATCGACATCGATTTGGCTCGTTGTTCTCAATGATAATGTATGTACTCAATTGGGTGGGATATGCCTTCTTCTCTTTGCAACATACACTCGGATAATTTTCTTAGATCCTTTTTACTCATTTTATGGGTACTGGGTAGACCTAAACAGGTTGGCCACCGCCAATGAAAATTGTGGGCGTGCCCAAAAATAATTTGGATTTCATCTTTCAAGGAGATAATACAAGGAGTAAAGCAAATGAAGTGTATTTTCGTTTATAATTATGAGTCTACGAATGAACTGCCAAGAGCCCATTAATAGTCTAAAACTTTTCTCGAAGATTGTAATTTGTGGGAGCGAAAGGACCTTTACTGTATCTTCGAGCCTTATGTGTCGCAAATAATTCTAGCATACTCATAGAGTTAATGTTGTTAATAATATGTCATGATGATATCAGAAAGGCAATGAATAATTTGATTGTATTAAAGAATATTCTTCTCAAAACAATGAGTTATTTGTACTTCTTAGAAGATTTATACATACATAGTAACACATAAAGGCTTTATAAGACATATTTTCCATTATCCTAATAATATAAAACCTTTATTGTAGAAGTACTTTTGATATGGTATTCTAATGTGTGAATATACCCTCTGAGTACCCTTTGAGGGATCTAGAATAGTTTTTACATAAAAAAAGTAGAATAAACAACATTGTCCCTGAACCGGCCAGCTCACTAGTATTAGAATCTAAAAACTGTAAACAGAATATACTATATATTAATATATAGACAGAATCGGTGGATGAATGTGGTTGGGTGTTAAACTGTTAAGGAAGCCAATGAGCTGAATCAACAAACCAAGTCTCAATAGTTATGATGAGCGCAAATCACTCGAAATAGAAAATCGTGTAACAAGTAATAAGTAAAGTACTCCAATTGCAGTAGTTACACTACTCATTGCTTTAATGTTGCCGACCTCCAACAGGTGATTCCCACACACACTAGCACATAATATATACTATCTCCACTTGGTGGCAGCAGACAAAACAAACTTTTTTTGGTATTACTCTTTAAGCCATTTTATTCGTTTATGTATTAACCCAAACAGACAATAACAAACACACGCACACACAATCACATACACGCACACACACACACACACAGACAGAGATGAAAAAAATTCGTATCCTACAGTATTGTTCCCACCATTTGCACATACTTATCCACAAATGTATTAGTACACTCCGAGTAGTTTCTGTCGTTGACCTGCATTCACCAGACTGTGCTGTGCCATGTCTCCCACCTCCTACAATCCCAGTCCCAGAATCTGTGTCTGAATGGGTTCGATACGAGGCCAAAGCGACGATAAAAATAGTAAATACAATAAAAATTATAATTGTATATAGGAAAATCACAAGCTTTAACACACACACTGACACACAAAAAGCCGGCCGGCCATTATATTTGTATATATGTATGTAAGGAGTATGTGTAAGAAACGTTAGTGTTTACGTATGTAACCGAGTGTGGTGGTCTACAGGAGCTCTAGACACATTCACAGACGAGCTCTGGCACTCACTTATACAGACAAGCATAGACAAACTTGCTGTAATTCTTTTATATACACATATATTTCTTTCATCTTTTTCTGTTGTTACCAGTTTTTTTTTTTCTTTTTTTTTTTCATATACTGTCCCAGTTCAGTTCGTGAAAAGTTTAATGGCACGCTGGGACTGTTCGAAAGAGAAAGTACAAATTCTTTTGCTTTAGCTTTTGCCACAGCATGCGGAATGGTAAAAGACCTTGCAATTTTTATACAGCTGTAAAGTTTTATTCGATATGTGTTTTAGTGGCATGTGGGCACCGATACACCCATAGCCATAGTTATGTACCCCTCTATTGGTTATGAGCGTCCATGTCTGTGTGTGCACATACATATACATACATACATACATACATGTTCGCATCGGCAGGTTGTTGAAATGGAGGTTAAGGACATAAGCATGTGTACATAGGCCGCTAATGTTACTAATCCTTATCAATTAGTACAGCTATTTAATTCGAATTGGCCAAACATATGTATATAAGTATATATATGTGTATGGGTAAATCAAATTAATTTATGAATGTACAGAAATAAAGAAAAATAAATTTAAGAAAAATAAGTGGCATACATATTATAATAAGTATATGTGTATAACATAATGCACTTATTAACTTAACAAATTTATTGAAATTCCTACAAATAAATATTGCCGTCTTACATATACATTTGTATACGTAATTAAGTATGTTGCATACGGCAAGCAAGGACTGCAGCTTCTTGTGAGCAGACTTATTGATACTCTTCGACCTTGTGTCCCTCTCTTAAGCAAATCTCTCTTTACTTGCCAACTCTTTGTTCACTTTATCGCATTTGGACTCACACACACACACACATACACGCCAAGTGCCGTCTTGCTTCTCAAACTTTTGTTTTTCACGTATGTGTGTGTGTGTGGCTTTGTGTACACCAAAAGAAAGAAATCATGTGTCAGTCATGCGCAAAACGTGTTTTACATTTTAAAATCGCGTGTCTCGCTCCTTCAAATAGGAATAGCAGCGGACAAGCTCCTTTGCATTCCTCGCACTTGTTAACTGAGACGAAGGCGGAGCATACTGCCATTCGCATTTCTGCCAAGATACCGACGGCCTGCCATCATTTCGAGTCTTACCTATAACCACTTAAGGCTTGGATTACGAACGAAGGTTTCAGACCTGGCTTGGAAGCAGCTCTCATTCTCAACTTGCCGTTGTTCTCGATGCACCTGCTGCTGCTACTGATGCCACTGGGAGGGGGAAACGCAACAGGCTGTAACTGATTGAGCATGGGGTCACTGCTACTGGATGGGGATGTTTTTGGCCAGCAAGCGAGAGCTTCCCACGTAAAACTTGATGTCGTTGTCGTACTCCGTATGCACGAAGGCAGGTAAACAAGTTATAAATCGTGTGCTTCGTGCGCTCGGCTCCAACTCGTGAAACAGCCGATGACGACGGTGTTGTTGGCGAATGGTTTTTCTTGTTGCTTATTCGTAGATTCTCGCGGCTCTATGTCTGTGTGCTGCAATTTCGAGCAGGCGCGAACTCAACGCACCAATTAGCATATTCCATTGTCTCTATGTGTGTGTGTGTGTGTGTAAGTAGATGTGTCTCCCAGGCCTTTTCATTTTTGGCATTCCTGCGACCTCGTCGTCGTCGTGAAATGGCTTTTTAGTGGCATGGGGGCGTGCCACAGCTCATTTCGCCGTGAAGATACAGCGCTGAAGCGGTATGAGAATATTTCATGTCTGTATTGGTATGTGCGAGTGCTCAACTTTGCATGCATTTGTATATAATAAATATGTGGGTGTGTGTGTGTGTATGCGGTTTATTTACATCTACCTCGCGAGCTGTCCGTAAAACTTTAAAACGCGACGCGATTTTATTGGAGCTTCGTGCGAACGTGCGACTCGCTCTTGCCTTCCACACGATGCCACAACAACCCCAGTAGAAAGTACATGGCGCGCGCACAGAACATTCGTTCTACATATGTATATGGCATGTAGTTGCTCCTGGCGAATGGAAACGCATTATTTTGGTTATGTGTTGCATTCATTATATGCATACTGTGGATGCGTATGCATATTAAGTGTGTCACAGCCACTGTAATTAATTTAAACTCTTTTTTTTTTTTATCTTGTTCTTTCTTGCAGAAGCCAAACTGTTTGATAACGGCTTGAAGTTGGATATTTCCAGCTATTCCCACATGAACATACGCATGGGCACAAAGGGCAAGCGACCGTTGCGTAGCTTGACCCCCAGGGACAAAATTCATGCGATTCAACGTATCCACGATGGTGAATCCAAAGCTTCGGTGGCCAGGGATATAGGTGTACCCGAATCGACTCTACGTGGTTGGTGCAAGAATGAGGACAAGCTACGTTTTATGTCCCGCCAATCAGCAGCTGACAAGATGTGCGCTGATTCGTTAGTGGATAAATTAGATGGTACTGCGGGTATATTAGGGCCACCTGAGAAGCGCCAACGATTAGACAACACCCTGCCTCTAAATTTTTCCAATAAAATGAACTTTGATGAACTTGCCTTCAAGCGATCGCCTCTTACTGGTTTGGACTACAGTACAAATAAAAGTCTATCAGACATGAGCTACAACGGATTACCAGTTGATTATGTGGGCTTTAACGGAGCGATCAAAAACAAAGTTTTTGGTGCAGATATATCCCGGTCTGGTCCTGCTGATCCATCGTTAAATGCCATAAGCCCTCTTTCGAGTCTCACACATCTATCAGGTCTCACCGGCATATCTCAGTCTCCGCTAGCTATCAGCTTTAACGAGCTGACCTCAAATCTAAATCTGCTGGCTCAGCTTAACCCCGGCTTAGCAGCTATGTCAGGATTAAATAACTTTGCAGCAACAGCTAACACATTGCGTAATACAACAAAAACTAATGGTCAGTCACAGCCACAACTACAGAGTCCGAGAAGTGAAAACGGGGATCGAGACCGGACTCCAGCGCTGTCCGTCAAGAATTGGGCAAAACAAAAGCCGTCTGGTCCTACCTCAAACACCGGAGACTGTGACATAAAAAGCGGAAACATAAAGAGTCCGAGTCCATCGCTTGCGCCTTCACTGGTTGGTTGTGTTGCGCCGCTGTCAGGTCTACCTGACGATCCTCTGCTCTACTGGCTTAAATCCCAGCAGGCAATGCTGGGACTAAACAGTCTGTACCCACCTCCCGTGGCATTGGGTGTTACAAGCCCACCAATACGCTCCTCAACCCCACAACAGCTAAATCAATATTCCAACACTCCCCCCGTATCTTCCGCACCATTGGCTCCATCATCACCGGCGGCTAGAGGTTTAGATGACAAGAATTCGGCGTGGTATAACTGGTGCAAAGCATTTGGAGCCAGTCTGCACTCACTCAATCCGAATGCAGCTACATTGGCAGCGCTTCAGGCAACTTCCATACAGCATCAAGCTTCATCGACTACCGCAGAGGCCACGAATATAGAAGATGTCGTTAAACAGCCGTACGAAAACATTCTATATTCCCAGTTAACAAAAGAGACTGGATCGTCATCGGCTCGAAGCCTGTCGTCTAATGAACAGAACCAAACTGAACAAAATGATTTGGCCACAGACCAAGTGGTAGACCCTGATGTAGAAAGCAACGGAAAACCTGAGGATTTGTCGGCTAAATCGGTGAAATCAACAAGCTCTACCCCTTGTCCGACCATGGCATCTCCGAATCTCGTTATTAGCAGCCGTGATCATAGTCCGGAGCTGTGCACTGCGGTAAGCAGTCGATCGCCGTCAAATCCAGGTAGCACAGAGTTAAACAGCACCTCATGCAGCGCTGGTGAAGATTGCAAAAATGTTCTCAGCAATATACTGTATAAAATTGGAAGTATCAATGTGGATGCGTCAGAAAACGCCACTACGCCTGTAAGTCCGGAATTGGGCTGTGAGTCAGAGGCAAGTTTCACCAGTGATACCCATCCCCACAATAATAATGATGTCAGTGCCAGTAACAACAACAATAACTCCAATAAAACAGACGAGGAAGAGCGGGGCAAGTGCGTGGACTATGCGACCGACATTGAAGAAGTAGAGGCCATAAGACACGGCGAAAAGTTCCTACAGTGGCTGGAAAACTGTAGTAATCCACGCGTTACAGCCGTTCAACTGATGCAACTTAGATTCCTGATTGCAGCTATCAAGTCAAACAGTGATACACAAGCGGTTACTAGACCCGCTGTCACTTGCTCTGATGAAAATGAAGACAATTCTCATGAGGATGCAAGTAGAAACAAAAGTCGTCGCCGTAAATAGGACAAACCGAAGTTGGCACCTCTGGAGCCAGCCACGGATATTGTTGAAACTGCGAAGGAGCACAAGAATGAAATGATCGATATAGATACCAAAGGGCATGGCCCAGACTTGGGCTGGAAGCAATCGAAGCTAGACCCAAGCTGTGCCAGCGGTATTGAATCGCCATTGTCCCTCCTTACAAGATGCCAGCAGTTTTCCCCAGCTATTTACCAATCGTCAGCAACTCTGCTCAGCTCGCTGATGTTTCCGCCATACGAATTTGTACACTGTGACCTCGATAATGACCCAGATGACTGCCAAATAACGGGCGAGTACCAACAGCCCGATGAACTCAGTTCGAGTAGTGACGAAAATGTACAGAATGACTTAGAATAAATGATTTCTTCCAATCTCTATTATATCAATGTATATGTATGTTCAAATTATAGAGTACACCGATCCTGAGCCAAAACTCACATTTATATTGTGAATTTTACCATTTTTTATTAGATAAGAGTAAAATGTTTTGTTTACATTTACAATTTGTAATGTCTGTCTAAATCCCCTTTAATTTATAATACCTTAATGATAAGTAAGATAAACCATTTGTAAAAAAAAAATTAATATTTTTTCAATTGGAACACGTTTGATCTTTTTTATTTAATGTTTTTATCAAACTAGAAAATGTTTAATTCATTCAGCTTTTTAGTTGCATATCTTAAGCTAATAAAAACATAATGTGGAGACAGTCAATCATGTGGATTTGATACTATTAGTTACTTTTATTATTATAACAAATACTCATGCAAATACTGAATGAAAATATGTGCTAATAAGAATTTTATCAATTTGAAATTCGTAAAATATTTAAATAAACTGAATTTATATATGTAGAAGTTTTAATTTTAAAACCTTGTTTAATAAAACATTCGAATTAGACAATTTTTATAAAATAATTTGACTACTTCATTTGGAGCATGGAACAAGTATACAATCAAGGGAAATATTAATTCACGATGATTGATTGAAAATTAGAAAGACCATGTTTATAAAGTTTGAACGCAATGTAAGGAAAAGGTTATGATAGTTGTAATATGTAAAATCGTATACTGTCTACATCGCATAATACTCTTAATATTTTCTGCATTTCTCGTCTGTATTTTGTATTTTCTCTAAGCTCTGAACACAATCAAACACATCGGTAAAAGCCTTTTGTGCTAGTGTTACGCATGTAACAGACAGAATTAGGCAACTCTTAAATATTCTTAGTCAGTATCAACAGCCACGTCCATATAGTCAATCCCGTCTGTCCTTCTGTTTATTTTAAGACTAATTTCTAAGCTTTAAAACGATCGTGTTAAAACTTAGCATGGGTCTGTCTATCGGTTGCAGGCCATTCAGAACCACACAAGCAAAAGTGGGAAAAGTGGGAAAATACCAGGCTTATATTAAACAAGTAAGAGGTTCAGTCGGGAGCTCCCGAATAGGGATATCGATATCGATCGTTATCGGTTGCTTGGAAACGGAGTAAGTTATCGATTATCGGAAACAAACTCGATCTGCGCAGGCACTAGGAGCATCTACATTTAAAATTTCAAATCTATAGCTCGGACAGACAGACGGACATGGTTAGATCGACTCGGCTATTGATGCTGATCAAGAATATATATACTTTATGGAGTCGGCGATGCTTGCTTCTGCCTGTTCATCAAGAATCAAAACTTTTTCGACGATATTTTTTTGTAATATCTCGGGTAAATAATGTCTGATTTTAAAATGTTATACATTTTTGTGTCCGATTTTGCAATTTTATACCATTTTTGACTCGTATAGATCAGTTCTATCGATTGGCTTAAAAAAAAATAAATTCAAAATTTTGACCCAAATCGACAAAATGGCAAAATGGCATATCACGTTTTTTTCAAAATCGAGGTCGGTGCGAAAATCGAAACTGTTTCGATGCTTTTCTTTTAATATCTCGGGTAATAGTTCCGCGCGGAGATATGACGTTTCAAAACGACATAACTCCGCGGAGATATAACCTTCCAAAACCCCAAGACTTATTCGATGATTTTTTTTAAATTTTTCGGGTAAATAATGTCTGATTTTAAAATGTTATACCATTTTGAATGCGTACGGATCCCTACCATCAATTGGCATTCAAGCAAATTAAACATCGATGGGTTGAAAAATGTTGTTGACAAAAAACCGATTCGTTCGTAATTTCAACCTTTTTGATGATGATTTGGAATATTTCCGTCAAATAATGTCCGATTTTGGAATTGTATACCATTTTTGACTCGTAAGGATCAGTTCTACCGATGGGAATCAAAAAAAGGAAATCCAAAATTTTGACCCAAATTGACAAAATAGCAAGGAATTACAGCAGGATTGTTTTCAAAATCGAGTTCGGTGCGAAAATCGAAACTTTTTCGATGCTTTTCTTTTAATATCTCGGGTAATAGCTCCGCGCGGAGATATGACGTTTCAAAACGACATAACTCCGCGGAGATATAACCTTCCAAAACCCCAAGACTTATTCGATGATTTTTTTTAATATCTCGGGTAAATAATGTCTGATTTTAAAATGTTATACCATTTTGAATGCGTACGGATCCCTACCATCAATTGGCATTCAAGCAAATTAAACATCGATGGGTTGAAAAATGTTGTTGACAAAAAACCGATTCGTTCGTAATTTTAACCTTTTTGATGATGATTTGGAATATTTCCGTCAAATAATGTCCGATTTTGGAATTGTATACCATTTTTGACTCGTAAGGATCAGTTCTACCGATGGGAATCAAAAAAAGGAAATCCAAAATTTTGACCCAAATCGACAAAATAGCAAGGAATTACAGCACGATTGTTTTCAAAATCGAGTTCGGTGCGAAAATCGAAACTTTTTCGATGCTTTTCTTTTAATATCTCGGGTAATAGCTCCGCGCGGAGATATGACGTTTCAAAACGACATAACTCCGCGGAGATATAACCTTCCAAAACATCAAAACTTTTTCGATGATTTTTTTAAATATGTCGGTTAAATAATGTCAGATTTTAAAATTTAATATCTTTTTAAATGCGTACGGATCCCTACCATCAATTGGCATTCAAACAAATTAATCATCGATGGGTTGTAAAATGTTGTTGACAAAAAACCGATTCGTTCGTAAATTCCATCTTTTTGATGATATTTTGGAATATTTCCGTCAAATAATGTCCGATTTTGCAATTTTATATCACGTTTTTCTCAAAATCGAGGTCGATGCGAAAATCGAAACTGTTTCGATGCTTTTCTTTTAATATCTCGGGTAATAGCTCCGCGCGGAGATATGACATTTCAAAACGACATATCCCTCTTCAAAATAAGGGTCGGTGCGAAAATCATAACTTTTTCGATTATATTTTTTAATATCTCGGGTAAATAATGTCAGATTTTAAAATATAATATCTTTTTGAATGCGTACGGATCCCTACCATCAATTGGCATTAAACAAATTAATCATCGATGGGTTGTAAAATGTTGTTGACAAAAAAACCGATTCGTTCGTAAATTCCATCTTTTTGATGATATTTTGGAATATTTCCGTCAAATAATGTCCGATTTTGCAATTTTATACCCTTTTTGACTCGTTAGGATCAGTTCTATCAATTGGCATAAAAAAAAGGAAATCCAAAATTTTGACCCAAATCGACAAAATGACAAAATGGCGTTTCACGTTTTTTTCAAAATCGAGGTCGATGCGAAAAACCGAACTTTTTTCGATGTTTTTTTAATATCTCGGGTAATAGTTCCGCGCGGAGATATGACGTTTCAAAACGACATAACTCCGCGGAGATATAACCTTCCAAAACCCCAAGACTTATTCGATGATTTTTTTTAATATCTCGGGTAAATAATGTCTGATTTTAAAATGTTATACCATTTTGAATGCGTACGGATCCCTACCATCAATTGGCATTCAAGCAAATTAAACATCGATGGGTTGAAAAATGTTGTTGACAAAAAACCGATTCGTTCGTAATTTCAACCTTTTTGATGATGATTTGGAATATTTCCGTCAAATAATGTCCGATTTTGGAATTGTATACCATTTTTGACTCGTAAGGATCAGTTCTACCGATGGGAATCAAAAAAAGGAAATCCGAAATTTTGACCCAAATCGACAAAATAGCAAGGAGTTACATCACGATTGTTTTCAAAATCGAGGTCGGTGCGAAAATCGAAACTTTTTCGATGCTTTTCTTTTAATATCTCGGGTAATAGATCCGCGCGGAGATATGACGTTTCAAAACGACATAACTCCGCGTAGATATAACCTTCCAAAACATCAAAACTTTTTCGATGATTTTTTTAAATATCTCGGGTAAATATCTTTTTCTTTGAATTCGTACGGATCCCTACCATCAATTGGCATTCAAACAAATTAATCATCGATGGGTTGTAAAATGTTGTTGACAAAAAACCGATTCGTTCGTAAATTCCATCTTTTTGATGATATTTTGGAATATTTCCGTCAAATAATGTCCGATTTGGCAATTTTATACCATTTTTGACTCGTAAGGATCAGTTCTATCGATTGGCATAAAAAAAAGGAAATCCAAAATTGTGACCCAAATCGACAAAATGGCAAAATGGCATATCACGTTTTTTTCAAAATCGAGGTCGATGCGAAAATCGAAACTTTTTCGATGTTTTTTTTAATATCTCGGGTAATAGTTCCGCGCGGAGATATGACGTTTCAAAACGACATAACTCCGCGGAGATATGACGTTTCAAAACGACATAACTCCGCGGAGATATAACCTTCCAAAACATCAAGACTTATTCGATGATTTTCTTTAATATCTCGGGTAAATAATGTCTGATTTTAAAATGTAATATCTTTTTGAATGCGTACGGATCCCTACCATCAATTGGCATTCAAGCAAATTAAACATCGACGGGTTGAAAAATGTTGTTGACAAAAAACCGATTCGTTCGTAATTTCAACCTTTTTGATGATGATTTGGAATATTTCTGTCAAATAATGTCCGATTTTGGAATTGTATACCATTTGACTCGTAAGGATCAGTTCTACCGATGGGAAGCAAAAAAAGGAAATCCAAAATTTTGACCCAAATCGACAAAATAGCAAGGAGTTACATCACGATTGTTTTCAAAATCGAGGTCGGTGCGGAAATCGAAACTTTTTCGATGCTTTTCTTTTAATATCTCGGGTAATAGCTCCGCGCGGAGATATGACGTTTCAAAACGACATAACTCCGCGGAGATATGACGTTTCAAAACGACATAACTCCGCGTAGATATAACCTTCCAAAACATCAAAACTTTTTCGATGATTTTTTTAAATATCTCGGGTAAATATCTTTTTCTTTGAATTCGTACGGATCCCTACCATCATTTGGCATTCAAACAAATTAATCATCGATGGGTTGTAAAATGTTGTTGACAAAAAACCGATTCGTTCGTAAATTCCATCTTTTTGATGATATTTTGGAATATTTCCGTTAAATAATGTCCGATTTTGCAATTTTATACCATTTTTGACTCGTAAGGATCAGTTCTATCGATTGGCATAAAAAAAAGGAAATCCAAAATTTTGACCCAAATCGACAAAATGACAAAATGACATATCACGTTTTTTTCAAAATTAAGGTCGATGCGAAAATCGAAACTTTTTCGATGTTTTTTTTAATATCTCGGGTAATAGCTCCGCGCGAAGATATGACGGTTCAAAACGACATAACTCCGCGGAGATATAACCTTCCAAAACATCAAGACTTATTCGATGATTTTTTTTAATATCTCGGGTAAATAATGTCTGATTTTAAAATGTTATACCATTTTGAATGCGTACGGATCCCTACCATCAATTGGCATTCAAGCAAATTAAACATCGATGGGTTGAAAAATGTTGTTGACAAAAAACCGATTCGTTCGTAATTTCAACCTTTTTGATGATATTTTGGAATATTTCCGTCAAATAATGTCCGATTTTGGAATTGTATACCATTTTTGACTCGTAAGGATCAGTTCTACCGATGGGAATAAAAAAAAGGAAATCCAAAATTTTGACCCAAGTCGACAAAATGGCAAAATGGCATATCACGTTTTTTTCAAAATAGAGGTCTGTGCGAAAATCGAAACTTTTTCGATGATTCTTGATATCCTGTTTTTTGGGCAATTTTGGTAAATAGGAAGAGCTAGAGTCCCCAAACTTGACATATAGCTTCTAAAATAGAATATATATATGCATTTGATGTTGGAAGAAGAGGTTTCAGGGTATCCCCTAGTCGGGAGATCCCGACCTCTTACTTGTTAATCTAAGAAAGACAAAGAACTGCACGATTAAATTAAACATTCATGCATTCATGCAAACAGTACAAAGGTTATTTCTAGATTTGCATTTGTATCAGTTTCAAAATTAGAATCCGAATCTGACTGAGCTTACCAAGTTTGTTTGATCTTCCATTGGCTCATATTGAACAAAATCGGCCACAAATTTAGCAATTTCTTCAACACTTGAAACTAGCTCTGGATAAGCAAAAGCAGTCGGCCTTATTGTGGTGCACACGAACTTCTGTGAATATATCTCTTAATTATCGAAAATTGTCCAATAAATAAGTATTGAATAAATAATTTACCTGTACTTTACATTCGTTAGGCAATGCCAGCACCATTGCGCGTCGCCGGGGATGACTCAGAACAAACTGCTTGCGGAAATTTTCGGCATATAGCAACAGGAGGCGTTCCTTTGAAGATAAAGTGTAATATGACGGAGGAAAGCATTGTGGACTATCCTGGAATTCTTCAGTTGTCTCGGGAAATGATAGATCAATTTTTCCAATTTGAATCGCTGGGTCTCCCTCTGATAAACTTAATTCGCTTTCCTCATATTCAAATTCGCTTTCCTCTTCTTCCATCTCTTCTTCAAATTCATATGACATTTCCAGCTCTTCCGTTCGCCGTTCTTCGATTTCTTTTAGTTTAGCAGCATGTTTGTTCGGGTCTATAGTTCCCGAAAACTTCTTGTACTTTTGGAATATTACTTTCGGCATGTTTAAGCTGTTTCTCCTTTTGTGTTTTCTGTTCGCAATAAATTTTTGTTATGTTGCTATAACAACGTGGAAACATTTAATAGCGGGATAAATATAAGTATTTTTAATATATTCACTGCTTCGGTTTTATTTGACGAATAAAGCGAAGTACACATATTTTTCAATGTATATACAGTTGAAAGAGTCTTACCTGACTGACTGATTGATGAGGTAAGGGTCAATTTATACTCCGTGGCCATCCACTTTAAAAATTTAATGTCTCTAGCTCTTATAGGCTTTAAGACGCTTTAATTAGTGATTCCTTCAGCCTACTACAAACATATGCACAAAACTATTAGTCTCTTTTCCCCAATTTTCAAATGTTTCGCAGCGTTAAGAACATCAACAAGAGCTCAAACAAATAGTTATGCTTGCGAACGCGTCCTCCTGATTCTGTGTGCCTCGCAGGTGCACATTCAGCATAAATAAAAATAGCAAAAAAGAAAAGTGGTTAAAAATAAATAGGTATATAAAGAAGAGTACTATACAGTCTCACAAGCGTCCACCCTCTTGGCCACGAAAGAGGTGGCCTTTACCAAATTAAGATTTAACTTAGACGGAATATATATATTTACTGTGAAACGCAAAATAATACTAACCTTTCTTAAACCATTTATTAAGTTAAGATCACAGTATTGCAGCTGCTTTTGGGATTTCCGTTTGTCGTTATAAATAAAAATCGAAGCTAGAAATATTTATGCAGTAGCAAGTTGGTTTTTCTTCTTTAAGAAAGCCAAGTGCACACAATTTTAATTTTTAAAGGTTTACGGGCCGCAAAAATTAAAATGAATCCAAATTATTTGCATTCATTTTATTTTTACTTTAATAAAGCATAAGAATGAATACAATTTGTATTCCTCTCAGAAGTAACCATTTCCCATAACAGGGTTTCTCCCATAACTTGCTAAAGATAGGCGTTCGCTTTCACTGCGTTTTCTTAAATAAATTTTTTTTAAAATTGGGCAGCACTATATATCTTTACATTTTCAGTAACATAACTCAGCCAATGAAAAAATGATTGATCGACGGGTTTTTACGGTAGAGGGCGGCTGTTACCAAGTTAAGAATCAAATTCAAAAGTGCTACCATCTTACAACGAACTTGGCAGCACTTTTTACATTATTCGTCAAATTCGATCATTTCTTAAGCACGCCCATCTTTCCATCAACGACGTTGAAAATAATAAAAGGGTAGCTTGCTTAAAATTCCTGACAATCATTCTTAAAAACTCATTTTTTATTGGTGAAAAAATAGTGTTGATAAAACTTCCTTTGTTAACATAAAGGCTTGTACAAAGGCTTGAATAAAGGCTAAAGGAACAGGTAAGTTGTCTGTAATGGAAATTGCAAAGAGTTGGAGTTGCTTTTTATCAAAAGTATATGCATATATAGATTTTTTAATAATTGTTTAACTCAAGTCATTGAGTGATCTGTATATCTGTTTATTACTCAATGAACTCCAGTAAAGCATTAGAAATAAAATTTGAATCCTCCTCCCAGAAGCGGCCATCTCCCATGAAAGTGTTTCTCCCATAACTAGTTCGGTTATGGCAGCTTTTCCTGCGTTGTATTAAATAAAGCTTTTCTTACAAATGTGCAAGTCAGCCACTGAAAGTATTATTTTATGGTCAGGCTTTTACAATAGAGGGCGGCTTTTAGTAAATCAAGCATCAAATTCACAAGTGGCGCCATCTTGAATACTTAACGTTTAAGTAATTCACCTTTTGTACATTATTAAGTTTTATAGCACTCAGCTACATACAGGCTGAAAAGACGGCGCTAGAGGTCGCTTTTATAGCCTTAAGAAAGTTTCCATTATCTATTATTCTATTCATTAATTAAAAAGGAATACATTGGCTTGTGCATTAGAGCTCTTGCACCTTGAGACTTTAACAAAAATATTTTAATGCGTGTAAAACATTCTGTGCGCCGCTGCGACAGAATTTTTTTTTATCAACATCGTTGGCAAACAAATAAAATATATCTAAAATTGTTGAAAATCGTAGATAATTCTTGTTCCCCTACATAAGCATCTTCCGTTGGTAGCGTCTCTTTTACTTAGTTTTTTTTTTAGGACTCAATTTTAATTTCTCTTTAGTTGATCGACATATTGGCTTACCCATTGATACCCATCTTCAATTGACAATCAAAACAGAGCATATTGTTTAGATGAGGTGTTTTGTTTCTATTATTACAAAGTCTTCATGGTCAAGTACCTTTCACTTTATTAAGCCTTTGCTCCATAGCTATAAATTAAGCAAGTAAATCAGTCGGGACTACCCATCAATTATTATTATCTGCTTTTGGTGTTGGTAGAAGGTTCAGGGTATCTCCCAGTCGGGCACTCCCGACAGGAGCACTTTCACTTGATTTGTATAATATATGAATGATATCTATTTCCATAAAAAATAACAATAACAAAATAACACAACTAACGTAATTACAGGAGTAAATAAAACTATTCATATTTTCTTCGAGCAAAAAAATTAAAAAATTACACTACTTTTACAACCTGTTGTCAAAGTCTCCAGATGTTACCGATAAGAAAATTCGTTGTTGGGCTACAAAAGTATAATTCTTATATGTATATTTCCAGGGTATTCTCATATTGTTCAAGGCACTTGTTTCAATAACTGTTCGAAATGGATAGATAGTGCAACAAGGTTTTTTGTTGATTAATTTTTATTAATTTTAAATTTAAGCTATAATAAATTATAATAATATTTAATGTTTGTGTAAGCATCATAATGGTAGCAAACAAGTTCAAATTGTTAACAACGAGGTCACTTTGAAGTCTCTATAAATAAGTCCGTGCACAGTGAAGGCACGGTTAAAGCTGTTAAATGTTTACAATAATAATAATAAGGTTCCGGTTCAATGCCAGCATATGAACATCTATTGCAAAGCCCCTAAGACCACTGCTAATAAGCATTTTTTTTGGCTTTATTTTTTTTTTATATAAAGTGGTCGTTGATGGGACTATGCAACTTGGTTTCCTCATTTTCCGTTTCCCATTGGTTTCGTTTGGCCTGTAGGATTAAATCTTGGAAAGAACCATACTCCGAATTTTGATGGGATTTGGCAGTAAGCGCTACATCGCCTTCATCTTCGTAAAGGTTATCATACGCATAGTCGGAGTCTGTGTCCATTAGTTCACTTCGTAGTATGTCCATATCACTGTAATCCCCATTATCAGAGGATCGATCAGCTTTGTCGTTGTCATAATTTGATTGTTCGATATTGTGTTTCAGGTAAAAACTTTGAAGTAGTTGGTCCACTCCTTCAGACGACATGTCAGACACCATATTTACGGCAATCTTTCGACGACCACGCTTTAATGACTTTAAAGGCCTATCTGTCAACTCAAATTTGAAAGTTGTTTTAAGCGTACTCTTCGAGCTGTCAAAGTTGTTAGCCAAAGCTTGGAAAAGTCGCTTAAACTGGTTACTTGGCCGTTTTTTTTTATTAGTTGTTGCAGGAGTACTTATGTACTTTGGGTTTTCCATAATAAATCGATGAAGCAACTTCTTTGTGCCCTGCTGATCCTTTTGCGATTTGAGCAGCTCGACTAAAAACAAGAAAGTAGAATGTTAAATGATTTGTCAAATTCAAGATGGCTCGAAAGACTATTCGACGCACAGTATTAAATGTTACCTTTTTCATGGGATAGTCCAAGCCTATTTTGAAGAATTCCCCATTCATTGTTGCGACTTTCAGACGTAGCACCAACATTTGCTGGGGACTCGTCGTTATTCCTGATGTAAAATCCCAAACATTTGTGCTGTGCTGTTAACACGAGTAGCAACATTACTTGTATGCTTACATACATATTGATGATTGATGACATCTTGTTTCTTCCGCAGTGCACTGGCAAATGACGTACTTTCTGGCCCGCTTCTCGCTTAAATACTGCTGCAGGAGTTACAGTGGATCATATAAACCAACATAACCACGCACACCTACGAAGAGAGCACGGGTATTCGACAATTATTCACAACATTTAGACGCGCGAGGCAAAGGCGCCCAAGTCAGGACGACAATCGAGTGAGATGCTATTTGCCGATCGAATGTTGCTGTCTTTGTCTTTCTTAGTAACACTTAGCGCAAGCAATTAAAAGGCAACAGAAATACTTAAAATTTTGGTTTTCCACTCTAGTGGAACAGGTAGCATTACCTGCAGTCGCCGACGTCTGCGCATGCGAGAATCAAATCGCAATCCAGCCACCTCTGGCGGACGAGCATGACGATGAGCACTGATGGGCGACATCGGTGCGCCGGAGCGTTTTATGAATGTAAGTAGGTCATACAGGTAGTGGTTAACCGTTTAAATGTAAAAGGAAGTGCATATAAATCCTAGCGCCAGCCATAAAAGAATCAACCGCGCCGATCTTTGTCTTGATCTCTGTCGACAAATGTGTCGCTAATTATGGTTCAATCTGTCTTTTATTGATGTAATACAATAATGTAAATGCGATCTGCGGTGCAGGGCGACACGCGAAGGCAATGTGTAATTAGTCGGCGCCCTGTAGAACGCCGCTTCACTAATATACATATTTTGCCAGTCACAGCACAGCCATGTGCCGTAATATCACCACCTAATAGACTATTAAATATCCTTATGAAAATCTTGTATATTTATAAACAAGAAAGTTTTTCATACATATTAGACGTAATAAATACCAGGCTTTGTTAAGACATATTGATTAACTTGTGCGAGGTACTGCTAGTACAAGCAGGGAGCTAGGCTAGGAAGACTAAGACCTCCAGTTGTATTGTTGCGGTTGTATTGTTTTCTGTGCTGCTATTTTAATCCGTTTTTCTGTCTCATTGGAACTCAATTCTTGGTGTGGCTGTTGATTAGGGAGTTTGCAAGTATTGTGATCTGTTACGAGTTCGAGACCTATCGAGGAAACAGTGTATTCAGCGCGAGTTGAATTTGGCGTTGGTAGAATAGGGTTCAGGGTATTCCCTTTTTGTTTTCAAATATTTTTGTAATGTACGTTATATTGCTTTACCTATTGAATTGTTACAAACGCATAGAGTGAGCAGCATCCATTCGGTACCAATTAAATGACTCAAGACATTTTTGCATACATCAACCCAAATTCAGTAAGTAAATCCGATAAGCAATACTAAATGTTTAAAATTTAAACAAGAACAAGTCTAGTTGTCAAAATAAATTGTAAGAAGTAAATATACAAAAGAATATGGCGAGATCGTTTCCGCTCCTCAGCTAGTCCAAGCGACCAATACCACTTTTACTTGGTTCTACTTGATTTTCATCAATTACAATTTCTATCGTTATGGCTTCGATAATTCGGACTATATTAAGCACATCAAGTTAGTTCTGTGAAATGGTAATGCGCATGCCCGGTTACTTATTTTTCCGTTGAATGTCAAAATTTTTAAGAGCATACTGCATTCAGGGTTTAGCAAAACATGTCCGTCTGTCTGTCCGTACGTCCGACCTTAAGTATGTATGAGCACAAGCATCACAGAAACTATAATATAATATTGCCCCGTTTCCAAGCAAACTATAAAAAGTAGCTTTGAAGCCAGGTGGGCTACTAGGAAATACCTGAGCCCAGAACCGAGCTGCCACCACAAGTTTCCTTTAACCGTCACAACAAAGCAACACAGATGCTGCTTCTATTTCTCTTAGCCCCTTGCAATGGCAAATACTTTCATTCGG